TTGGATAAGGAGGTTAGTCTTCTCATAGTTAGGTAAACGTAGGGAGTAAAGACAATAATTGTACACATGATTTAAGTAGATAGAAATAATTGGTGACGTGATTTAAGTAGAGAGAGAGAGAGAGAGAGAGATATGACTTTGAACAGTGGGGATAGAAGAAAAAATATAACAAACAGAAGAATATTTTAAAAAACAGAGAGATAACATTGAAGAGTTATTAGAGGATAGTAAGAAGAGTATACATATATGAGAGTAAATGCATACCCGACCAGCATAGATACTTTTAGATGTGCTCATCACAAATATCCATTTGACTTCTTCAGGTTCTTTGCTTGTATCCAAAAGCTCCCCTGTTTGCTTGTGCACGATTTTACCATCAACGGGAACATACTCATAATGCATCCTCTCTTTCTGAACCATGAACCCCCGCACAAACGAAAAAAACAAAGTAAGCTCAGTTTCAAGATGGAAGTGTTAGAATTGAATGAAATTTCTAATGAAATCTGTCACACACACACACCTGCATGAGTGAAAACACACACCAACTGTAATATTTGGACATACGAGTTAAAATGTTGGGTATATTCTCTTTCTGAAAATTGAATACTCAAAAAAGAAAAGAGAAAGAAAACACAAGTTTAGTTTCAAGATACTAGGTGTCAAGATTAAATGAAATCTCCCCCTCCCTCCTTTTTCTCTCTTCCTCACACACACACACATACAAACATGGTGAGACTCTAAGATGAGGGTCTCAAAAATGTGATACCAAAAACATTTCAAGAAGCAATCTTTTCTTTTTGTTTGGATAAATGCAAAAAATAGTAGGAATTTTTTATAGAAAAACAAAATATTTTCTATGTTTTTGCACATAATATAATATAATTTACACGTGTGTATACCTACAATCATATGATCTTTGATTAGATGGTTGGGAGCGAGCAGAGAACATTATATGAGCTGGTGCTAATCATGTTTATTAAACCATAATTAATGGGCAGTATTATTGTCATCTCACTCTTAGCCATTTAATTAAAATATGATGACTAGATATGTTCTGATAAGTGAAAACTATAGGTGCAGAAACATATAGAAAGCTTGCCTCAAGAAATGGCTAAAACAATTTAAGAATCTTTCCTGGTCAAATTCTTGGTACAATGTGAACTTACAGGACCGAGGTATTTGATACAATGTTTTCTGAGCTTTGATCTCGGGCACTCTTGAAGGTCAACATCTTGGCCATCCCCAATATCCAGCCTGCACAAAGAAAACAATTAAGCCCTGTGAATTTGATTGGTAAATAAAAAACCTGTCAGGTTGACTTGGGAATCGCTCGAGTCGACCCGGATCAGGACCCTAGAAAATCCGTCGCTTTGGGCTTCAGACTAAGCCTCCAGCTTGACAGATTCTCCTACCGACTCGGGCTCGGACCCTGGTAAGTCTGAGTCCCAGTCTGCATATTTAAACATCGATTTTGATAGTCATCGCCTCATAATATTATCGTGCTACTCTCTCTCTTGTTTTATTCCTACTCTGCAATTTTTCCTTTCTCTCTTGGTTTCCTCATACTCTGCAATTCTCTCTTTCCTCTCGTTTAATTCATACTCTGCAATTTTGATCTCTCCCTCCCCCCCCTCTCTCTCGCCTGTTTTATGCATACTCTGCAATTTCTCAATTAACAAAATCCCAAGTCTAAAACCAGAGAAAGTAAAGGAACTCACCAGAAGAAAAATGGCTGGCCTGAGTTGCTTTTACACCATTCATCATAATAATAATGCAAGCTATGTCCATAACGATGGCGAGGATCAATCTGAATCCATTGGCCCAAAACAAAATCCAGGAACAACTAAGTGACAAATAAATGTTCTCGTGAAAAAGAAAGAAACAGAGAACCAGGTTTTTTTATTTTGGGGTAATTAACAGAGAACCAGGTTACCTACCCAAAAGACGATAGATGCAAGCTCTTTAGATAAAAAAGAACACAGTATAGAAATGAAAAAGGAGAAGAAGAGGCAAAACTTACAGCCTCGATCCAGTGCCAGAAAGCCAATTGCAGGGCTTTTTCGTCTTCGGATAATCCCTTTCCCACCTGTAAAACAAAGTTCTATCATCCTCTTAAACTAAAGAGGAAAGAGATCTAGCGCGAGAGAGAGAGAGAGAGAGAGAGAGAGAGAGAGAGAAG